GCAGAGCCTCCCCCTCCTCCCCACAGCAGTTTTTGGGAAGCACAAGTGCTGGTCCTGCCCACAGGACTTATGGGAACACAAGCAGCCCAAGAGCTGGTATGAGGGTTGCTGTGCCCAGGCAGGGAATGACTCAGCACCCACCCACTCCTGGGCTTTTCCCTCTGCTCAGGCAGGAGCAGCAGGGACAGCACCAGTGGAGCTCAGGTTCCCCTTCCTGCAGTGAGTCAGAGCGGGGGGACACCCCCAGGCCCTCCCAGTTACAGCAACCAGGCCCCTGAGCTCGTGCCCCTGCTGGGAGAGGGGAAGGTGCTTTGGCTCCAGGGAGCGACGGAACCCACCACGCACGGGCTTTTGAAAACCAATTTTATTTAAATAAGACTTTAAATACATTACATAAAACATTAGAAATTAAACCAAAGCTGTTGTTACTGCACAGGGCCTGAGGCAGCAGCTCTATGGACACAAAGCCCTGCAGCTCCAGCCACAAGGCTGCTCCTCGTGTTAGTCCAGAACTGATCCCTTGTCACAAGTTTAACCCACCTCGGGGCTCGTGGGGACCTGAGCTGCAGCCATCCAGCCTCCACGTCACTCTTCTGCCACTCTTGTTTCGAGCCAAGCTTCCCCAGATCCCTGTGCCAGTGGGAGCCAGCACTGCCCCGAGGGACAGTGCCATGTCCCCGTGCCCCACCTGAGCTCGGGGCCCGGGCTGGGCAGGACACGATTCCCATCGTCCGGGCTGGAAGCGCAGCTGGACTGAGGAGCCATCCGGGCAGGCCGAGTCCCTGGGCTGAGCTGGGAACAGCTGGGTACCTTTGGCTCCAGGCCGGAGCTCTGGGAAATGAGGGACAGGCAGACAGGATAGCATGGGCTCGTGTCAGTTTATTACATCACCAGTTACACCAGTCCAGACTCAACAGTGGACCCAAGATCGTTACATTACACAAACCGGCTGCTTTTAAAGTTATGACAAGGGACAGGTGGGAATTTCATGGTAAGGAAATCTTCTTGCATAAAGCTCCAGAGGCCCACGGGCACTTAAAACCCGTGGACTTTCAGCTGGTCGTCTTTAGCCAGTCCAATCTGCAAGACAGAAAACGCATTTACAGCACAGAGCAAGGCTTTTGTGCTCCCCCACACCACCCGTGCCCACAACTGCCCCATTCACAGAGAGAGAAGGTGAGACTCCTCTGCAAACCCTGCTAGGGGGGAATTTGCCTCGATCAAGGATTAAAGCAGAAAAGAAAGAATCATCACAGAGAGGCCTAGGCCGGAAGAGACTGTGAGGTTCCAACCCCCCTGCCCCGGGGCAGGGACAGAGCTCTTCTCCCTCCCACCCCGCTGTGTGTTTATTATCTAATCTCGTGTTTAATTTCACGAGCAGCAGCCCGGGGGTGTCTTACCTCCACGAGGAACTGGCAGATGTTCTTGCGCTGGTCACCCTGCAACTGAATCACTTCTCCATACTCGGGGTGCTCAATTACAGTTCCATTGCAGGCAAATTTCTGCAGCAAGGAGACAAGAAACCTCCTTAGCACCTCATAAACCTCCTCCCGCCACGCCTGGCCGCCCCCCAGCCCCTCCGCACCCACCTTCTTGAAGGCCTTCACCAGTTTCTTTTTATCGTAGTCATCCGCGATGCCCTGGACTGTGGTGAGGGTCTTCCTGCCGTTGCGCTGCTGGATCCTTATATGGATGTAGTCCTCAGTGCCGGCCGGGAGCAGGTCATCACCCTTACTTGCATCCGCAAAGGGGTCTGCGGGGCCAGACCCCAACGCGCCGTCAGGCTCCGCCCCGCCCCATTGGCCGCCGCGCCCGTCCGTCACAGGAGGAGCGCACCCCATTGGCGGCCTCACCCGTCCATCACGCGCTGGGGCCGCCCCTGCCCCGCCCCACAATGCCTGTCAATCACGAATGGCCCAGGCCCCTGCCCCCACCCCATTGGC